GGCTGTCCTCTGGTACTAAGTGACCGAGACTAAGAAGGAGACAAGTGAGGGAGGCCACCAAGTCTGGGGAGGTTCCCCCAGACTTCTGGAGTGTTTGAATAAACGCCTGAAAATGTCTACAAGAGAACCATCGTGCTGTTGACAAGTTGACAGATGGACGCATCTCAGTTGTCGTGTAGGAATGTGCTTCAAATTCTGTGAGTCTGTAAATGTAGAGGTTGGGTTTGGGCCCAATTATGTTTTTTCCATCTAATAAGCAGTTGGCAGATTCCCAGCCCTGGATGGTGGCACTCCAAAACCCTTTACCTCTGCTTAACCATTGTTGTTACCATAACGTATTTTTATTCACATTTTAAAGCATGTCATTAGAAAAAAAAATATGTTGGCTTGATCTGTTTATTGAATCAATTCTAAAGGAATGAGCCTTTAACCCACACGACTGATCATCAGCTGTTTCCACGTAGTTCTTTGGCTTCACCTCTGAAAAGCAGGAAACATGACTGATACGAGTTCCTGAAGACTTCTCTGCATTTTTTTCCCTCATACATGCCAGTTTGGTTTGTTTTTTCTTCTCCTTGAGTTTTTTTTTTTTTGTGTGCTCAGCAAACAGCTGGTTTTTGTTCTGTCTTCTTCTTCTCTGTTTATTATAGCCATATGTGATGTAGCCTATAGCGCCACCTTCTGACAACACTACAAAGCCTAATGCATACATGCCAAAGCAGCACATGGTAACAAGTTTGGTTTGCATTCTCTTTTTACATTTTTGTGGAATTTCAAAAGTTTGCTTCAAATTTTCTTGACAATATATGAAAGCAGCCAGTTGCTAAAGAGATTATTGTTCCTCTGGTGAATTTGCATCTTCACAACTTTTCCTGTAACACATTTTGTCATCAAGGATCCAGTTCTTTGAGCAGACACATTTCTGTTCAACTCATTTACAACAGGAACTATATCAAAGTATTGCGATACGACATCCATCAGCCGCAAATAGAGAATTATTAAACTTTAGACAACAATTGCTTAAAATGAGTCGGGAAAGTAGGCTTACAAGTAAACATAATGCTTCATTTACCTTGTAAAATATTGTCTGTGAATGTAATCCATGCGGTTGTTATGTTCGTTACTTCTGTGTGAAAAAAAGTACAACTTTGTGACCACGGGGTAGCAGCCACGACTTTGACAAACGGTGTAGTTCTGAACAGCTCGGTCGCCTGTCAGCTCAACTGAAGAGTGAAAGGAAGCCAAGTGCACAGTCAGTCAGTGCGAGGCGTTGTGTCGGAATGAAAACAGGTTCAGCACCGACTTGTTAGCTGCTGCTTAACTACCGCTGACCTCATCCGTCGGGTTTCTGGAATCGAAGCAGAGAGAGAAGGTGTCGTCTGAATTGTGCTTTCACACCTCATCACGATACATCATGTGTATCCATGTTTTTGACAGGTTCAGACAGCATAAAGTTGAACACCATCCTAGCGTTGCAATGTGGTTATGTCTCCGGGGCAACACATTGTCTTTACTCAGGTTTGGCATTAATAAAATATGTTTAGTCTGAACTGCTTTTTTTTGTATTCCTAATCAAAACTCCAGTTCAATGCCTCTATAATATTAGAGGCTTTCAGAAGTGGCTGGCCCATCTTAACATCTTAACAAACACACTGAACATGGCTCATTCTCAGTTCCTTCTTACATCACTGTGTTCTATTATTGCATTTCATTACTTGTATTGATTTTTGTAGCCACAACACACAGTTTTGTTGAATTTTAATCTGTCTTTCCTCAGCGTGCCATATGAGGTCACACCCTTTGAAAGTGGCTCGTACTTTATCAAACACAAAACAGCCAAAGAAAAAAAAAAAGCTGAACCCCTGGTAATTTCTGTGGAATTCATAATGATAATCTAAAAAGCCGCAGCGGCTTCTTTGGGCTCTCCAGCGCTTTAAAAGACTCCCCCTAATTTTAATCCTTCATTTTTTAAATACTGAAAGGGTATAATCTGTTCCATGAATATATAATTAGGTATTTGTATTGCTGTATAGACTTTCTACTGTTTTTAAATGTGGTCAGCTGGCAAACCTTGAGTAATGCAGACCTCAGAAATGTGTTTAACGGATGTCCTCATTCAGTTTGTGTCCATCTTTTTGAAGCCAAGCAAACATTTCAGATTCACTGTTCAAATCTAATCATATGTGAGTCTTTAAGGAAAAAACATTCTGCTCTTTTTAAACTTGATCCAAATATTTAGCAAATTTGTAAATTAGCCCATGAGGACTGGATAAAGGAAAAGGTTCCAAACACCGGCTTCAACATAACAGGTCCTGGCATTTGCTGGCTCACCGTCACGGCTTGACAAGACTTTGAAATGATAATAAGTAGCTGTGTTTCCTGCTTCGACAAATCAGAAAGCCTGCCCATTCTTTCAAGGCAGGTCTGGGTATTATAAAATGTCCACGACATGCTCAGTCTGGACAGCAGGTCTTGTATTTTCATATCAGAACAGACATACCTGAACGATGAAGTCACTCATGTTTGCTTGGATGGATTGTGATCACTGACACAGCACTGAACCAGGACCGTCTTTTTCTTTTTTATCTAATCAGCGCATTCGCATTTGTTATAAAAGACTTATCAGATTTTTAGCAATTTTTTTTATTGTGAGTTTAGGCTTTTTAGTATATTGTACTGTTTTCATTCTCTTTTGGCTAAAAAAAATCTGAGATAAAAAATAATAACAGCCAGCCATTAGCAGCAGCGCCATGTCAGCTCCGTCATTTGGAACCTGCTCGTGTTGTTGTGCAATCTTTTCCACTGGCGTCTGTTCTTGGCTATTAGCGGAAAATACTGAAAATGACCTTCATCCACAAACCAACACGACGTCACAAAGTAATCATGTTGTGGTTGAGGTTCGCGCCAATGTGTGTGTGTGTGTGTGTGTGTAATGAGGTAATAAGGAGATACTGGCTGTGTTTAATCAGCTTCTGTTGTTAATGGAAAACCAATGTTAGCTGTTTTGCGTTGCTTCGAGACAACAGCCCTGTTACGTTCTGACCTCTTTTAGCTCTGTGATGGCAACTTGAGAAATATAGCTGCACGGTGGTATAAGATCCTGCTTGTCAAGAGAGTGGATCATGTTTTTAAAATCCTCTTTGGTAAAACAGCGAATATGTGCGGTAAAAATCGCATCACATCTTGGACTCTTTCTCATTCGGTGTAACACTGGTAGGTTGCATCTGAAATAGATTCTTGCTCTGGATGGCATTCAAATCTGGCTTTGCTCTCGTCATGCGGAGTTTTATTGTGTTCATCTAAATGTCAAACAAATTAGCCGTGCTGCCTCATGCGGTGGAAACAACTGCAAGACGCTGTCGACAGAGTACCTGTTTCTGATCAACATCGTCCTCTCTGCAGCTGAATCATTTACATACAGCTGAAGACTTCTTTCTGCAGCGAAACTGTGCTTCTCTCCTGTTCCTTGCTCATTTTGCTGTGCAAATGTGGAGCCTACATGTCAATAAGCTTTGTATATTTAAGAAAAAGTGTATCCAAGTGCATCAGACTTCTCGAGTAGATTAGTCACTAAAAAGGGCGGCTGTGGCTCCAGTGGCAGAGCGGGTTGTCCTCCAATCGCAAGGCTGGTGGTTCGATCCTCGGCCTCTCCACAGTCGAAGTGTCCTTGGGCAAAACACTGAACCCGAAGCTACAATTTGATCTCTGCCGTTACAAACAAAAACCGGATCTGATTGGAGAAAGAGGTACCAAAAAAGAAGTTTGGGGTAATAAAACTACCTGTTGGGATGAATCGTCACCAGCACCTAAAGTATCGGGAGTCCCTGCTCTAGAGTTGTGATGACGCTAAAACGTAGCCGAGGTGCTTCTAATCAGATGTTTGTCCTGAAATAAAAAGAAAAAAAATAAATGATGTCCTGCCGGAGGAGGTTGTGTCAAAGTAAGGTGCTGAATAAATTCTCCTCCTCCTCTGTGACCTTGCATTTACAAAGACAATGCACAGTAACAACTGCGATCGGGTTGTTTTAGTTTGCACCGTTTGCGGCAGCCGTCTTGGTTCCAAGTTGACGCTGCAAAACTGAAAGATGGTAAGAGATGGTGAAAAAACAAAACTGTGCTTCATCCCAAGCTGTGACATATTACTGCATCGAAGAGTGAAAAAAGTTGCAACGTGATGTGTCTGAATTAATTTGCTTTACTTCACATTGCATTTCCTTACTGTCACTCTTCACACATCACATTGTTAACGCCGAAACAACATATTGTGCAACCTTAGTGCAGTTTCATCTATAAATTAATGTGTGGCTGTGGCTCTAGTGGTAGAGCAGATTGTCCTCCAGTTACAAGGGTGGTGGTTCGATCGCCCGCCCCTCCACAGTTGAAGTGTCCTTGGTCAGGACAATGAACCTGAAGTTGCTCCCCAATGGCAGCCTTGGATGGCAGCTCTGTCACCATTAGTGTATGAATGTGTGTGTGAATGTGAAACACATTGTAAAGGTGCTATATAACCATTTACCATTTACAAAGAAAAATGAATTTATACCCCAACACACCTCCATACCTCCATCACACTGTGTGACTCCTTCCAGCACAATAGTGTGATTAATGTCAATTTAGAGATATATGAAAGTCACATGTATTGAGAAGAGTAGCTCACTTAGGGACCACACTGGGATGTGGCCCAAAACCGATGCGAAATGATCAGATTCTTTGTGATTTGTGCCGTTCACACTGTTATGAAACAATATGATCGAAGTCAAATATGAGGGGGAAAAAAAATCCGATTTAGGCTCCTTTTGCTTGCAGTCTTAATTTGCCTGATAGTCTTAAATGTGCCTCAGTGCTTCAAATCCACAAGTAAGAGGAAAAAAACCTGCTAAAGCCGTCACTGCTGACCACATTAACATGCACATTACTGCACCATTAAAAAAACCCCATTCAAAAGTGACTTGAAGCTTCGGCCAACGACATTCTTGACAAAACACAAAACCACAGGCAGATTATCATTACAGGAATTTTAATACTGTTCTTTTTCTCAGCATTACTTTTCTGGCAAAAAAAAAAAAAGTACACAGAAATGCTATAGACAAACTAAGGAACTGACAAACATACAACAATAAGAAAAAAACAAAAAAAAGACAAGGCTCCCTAAATAAACAGGGAAGGTACTGTAACAAGCATGTTGAAAATATTTCAAACATTTCCTGCCTCTCTCACTGTCCAAAGCAACACAGAGAGTCTTCCAGTTGATATGTTGGAGGAAAGCAGATATATGAGCATCTGTGTGTGTGTTTATGCTGGAATATTGACAGAATGCAGTGATGCCAGAAAACGGTGAGTTGATTCTCGACAGTGTTGGAGTGCTGTGCGTGGACTCAACAGTGTGTAGAAGGAGAAGCAGAAAACAGACACACACACATACGTACACACACCTGAACAAACCAATTGATAACACCCAGTCATCTGAGCTTTCTCCTGGTAGATAACCAAGAATCGAGTAAGGCCTTTTTGTTTGTTTGTTTTTTTTAAACCTGACTAAATCAACTACCTGCAATTCCACGATTCTTCATTTTTAGTTCATAATGTAAAGCAATACAATGTGTTTAAGACAAAATAAAGGCCCCTTTGTTCTGGAAATGCACATCAGCATGTAACATGACACTACAAGATGTCAGTAAGACTCTGTAGTAATGTTGCTAAGGCATGTCTGTAAAGCCATTATACTGAATGGTCTCTAATTATTTTCCTGACTTTTTTCTTTTTTAGGGAAAAGATATAAAAAAAGGAACATTCAAACGCTAAAAGCTTGTCACAATCCCAGCCCCAGACAGGAAAAGGAGAACAAATACACCACAATGTTGCATTTAGCCTGTACATTTCACAGTCTGGATGGTAGAAAACAAACAAAATCGCCTCCCAATAATCATTGTTAACCGAAACCACACTGGATGGTGAGCAAGAAGGTATGAGAGAAGAAAAAAACCTACAGGGTAGCACTATTGGAACCATATCTCATGATCCGCAGCGCCGAGAGGAAACAAGCGCCCAAAACTCACTGACACTGCAAATTGTCTTGAATCTCTTTGAACTTACTTTCTTTTCTTGGCACGTGTGTGCTGCTTTATAGGAGCAGGCTCTGAGGCAAAAGGCCTTTGAACACAAATTTGGAAGCTTTGGTGTTCAAAAACAGTCTGAGGCTTGTCTTAACCATGTCTTTATGGAGCGTCGGCAGACTTGGCAGAGAGAATAAAGTGTCTGACGCTAAACAGTTACATTCACTTGGTGAGTTCCTCAGGCATATGCTGGCAAAAAGAATTCGGTACTCGATGTAAAGATGACTGAGTTTTAAGGTTCTTCTTTTCCTTAATAAGTTTTGACCAGCCCAGTCTTGCAAAAAAAAAATGTGCAACAGCTACATTGATCCCCAGTGCAAAGCAAATGAGTTGCACAAAAAAGGCAGTAAAGTTGTGAAATGCGTGTTTTAGGATCTATTCTTGGGGTTGGACTTGTCACACACTTTACACGCCAAAACTTAACCAAGTAGCTTTGTAGGGTAAACAAAAAACAAAAGCAACTGAAAATGATAGAAAACAGTGACTCAAAATAAGCAGTAACTGAAAAGCACTTTGATGGGTGTATTTGAACCCAAACTGTGCCACTTCTTCAAATGTAACCAAATACTTTTGGTCATAAAAATTAGTTTTGTGGTGTAAAAAAAAATTCACAAAAACGACTAAAAATTAAGGTAAACAGCAAGTAAAAGCACCACAAAGCATTGGGCCGATAACGGATTCAAACCATGACGAGAAACTTGTTTAGTCACCGAAAGGAAATGGCCAAAGAAACGTCGGCATCTCACAATTTCTCGTGCTGTGGACCAACATCGCTGTTACACATTTTTGAAGATAGACTGCACTGTTAAAGTAGATATTTAATTTCTGCTTGTTGCTTTGAGATTTGGTCTTCCAAGAACTTATATTTACTTCTGCAGTCAACTGCAAGTAGCTTAGGAAAGGTTTAGCCTAAAATGCAAATTGTAAATGCTCAGAAACTGTCGTGATTGATGTAGGCTTTTTTAAGCAGGAACAATGAATGTTTCAATTCACAACAATAGCAATACTGAATTTACATGAACAGCAAAAACAAGGTAAAAATACAAAAACACATGTCAAAAACGGAGTATCATGATATCAACTAGACAAAACAGCATGTCCATCACGGCACAGAACAATGCAGGCAAAGTCCATCCTCATTTATCTTTCACAGCAAATTTATCTCCCACGAAGCCAAAAGCTACGGAGAGTGAGAGAATTATGGTAGATCTGTTGAGACTGAAGAATCCAAATCTGCGTGTGAAGAAACTTTGAAGTTTCAGATTAGACAGTTTTTATGATAATCAACTTATTGCTGTTTTTTTTTTTTATTGCATTTCCTTATTACTATCAATCTTATGGCAGTCTGTGAGTGGAACATTGGAAAGGAAAATTAGTATTTCTTTCAGTGCAAGTCATTTTTCATAATCCCCATGGAGCAGTTGGAGAAACTCCATTTGTACTGAGACATGTGGTCGAGGCAAGTGTACATCTCCATCACTGTTTTCATTTAAACCACTGCCATGTCCTCCAGTTCTGTAGCCCCAGCGCTGAGGCACTTTCTCCACACCACGTCTCCCAAATCCAGCAACAGGATTGCAGCTCATTCACATAGTTTCTTTTATACAAACAAAGACATTTTTAGAAAATGAGCTGTCAGTTACAGTTGTGTCAATGCAAAAAGGCACTTCCGTTTTCAGTCTGCTACTAAGACCCTTCTCGTCGATTGCACTTAATTTATTCACTTGGTTCGGTTTCACCACCATCAAACTCTGCTTGACTTTAAACCACATCCTCTTCATTGTTCTACAGTGGTTTCACACATTTCCAATGTGCTGTAATTTAAATCCATCATTCAGTGTCTCTGAAATAGATCATCCATCGTGTAGTGTCATCATTTGAACAACAAAAGATATTAAGTGCCACTTCTCAAACTGTGGATATCTGAAAATGGAATGAAAATTAGATTTTAACCACTAAGTTAGCCATAGCAGGATCAGGAAGTCCTGATGGGCACTATTTTCCAAAATCTTCCCAAGTGTTAGAAATAAGACGGCTTTAGGGACGCTACGTTGTTATTTGACGGACAGTGTCCTTGCATTAAGGGTGCTTCATAGTCCAAACCCCCATTTTGTTGCAAGAATTGAGGCTGCTGAGGAGTGTGACAAGAATCAATGTCAGGCTGCTTAAGGGGTAGTGTACCATTCCCACCATTCTCCAAGCAAGCCTTTATCCCTTCCAGTTCCATGGGATCAGGATCAGCTGGACCTAGTTCTAGCTCCATTCCTCCATTGGCCTGCCTCCTCTTCCGTAGACAAATGATCGTCCCAGCCACCACAGCCAATCCCAGCACCAGTGCCAGAGCAGCCAAAGCAGATATGCGAGTGTATGTCACAGAGGTCTTTGTTTCCACCCAGGGCTCTAAGGATGTCAGTGGAAGTCCTTCTGTGCGAGCCTCTGTACACGAGCTGTTAGCTCTAGAGTTGATTCTCTCACCCAGGGGGCTGGCACAGACAGAGTAGGTACAGTTGGGTCTCAAACCACGCAGAGTGTATTCAGGGTAGGATGCCGGTACACTCAGTATCATGGGGCGCCGATCAGGCCCTGAGAGGTTACGGTAGGTCAACCTGATGCCACGGATATGTGGCCGTGTCTCGATGAAGCGGTGCAGATCAAGAAGGATTGATGTTGAGGTGACCTGTCGTGAGCTGATGGCATCAGGTTTATCAGGCATCACGGGGGCAACTTCAGACACTGCTGTTGTTGAAGGTTTTGGTGGCTCAGGAACCTCATCCACATTTTCACAGTACAGGCCAGTAGTACCTGAGGGACACATACAGCTGAGTTCACCCTGTGGGTCAAAATTACAGGTACCCCCATTGAGGCAGATGTTTGGTGGGCAGATGTGCTGCTCATTTTCCCCACTAGTGGAGCTAGGAGAGACTGGGGGTTCTGGTGGAAGGGGGTAGCTATCTGTTTTTGAGGAGATGGTTTCTTCACTCGGTGGTGGAGGAGGAGGAATAGCATTGGTGTGGGTGGTTTCTGGAGATGTGGTTGGCATCTGGGGAACAACAGTGCTTCCGATGGGGGGGCCAATCAGCACTGTTGTGGTTGGTGGACATCCAAAATCTTGGTGCTCCAGTGATGAAAGCTTCTTCCCTGCATTAACTAGAGGAAAGTGACATCTGGTTTCCTCAGGCCTCCCAAGTGTCACGTCATTCTCTTTTAGCCAGATAGGGAACCATGCTAATGGACACAAGCAGTTGAATGGGTTCTCAGCAGCTGTCAGGTGCACCAATCTAGGGAAGGTTTGGAAAAAATTCTGGGGAAATCCTTGAAGATTAAGTCCACTGAGATCCAGTTCTTGAAGTCCAGTTAGTTTCTGGAAGTCTTCTACCCTCAATTCACCCAATGGATTGGCAGCCAGGCTCAGCCTGATCAGCCCCTTTAGGGAGTCCTGCTTTAAGGCCTGGGGCACCTCAACTAACTGGTTTACTGAGATGTCGAGCTCATGGAGGTTCTTCAGAGAGGCTATGAGATCCTCATCCACAGAAGTAAGGCCTAAAGAGGCCACCTTCAGGGCCTCCAGGTGGGGAGTCTGAAGGTCTGACGGTCCCAGCGTTGGGATGTTGTTGTAGCTGAGGTCTAGAAGGAGAAGCCTTGGGAAATTAAGGGATGGCAGAGAGGTGAGCTGGTTCCCTTGCAGTTTGAGTTCCAGTAGCATCTCTAAACCATCAAAAGCTTCCAAATGAATGCTCTGAATGCGGTTTGAATGGAGGTACAGCCTCTCCAACTGGACCAACCCAGAGAAACTGTCTTTGGAAATGTGGGTAATGTGGTTAGAGGACAGATCTAAGTTCTTCAGTTTTGACAGCATTTCAAACACACCATCTGGAATCTCTGCCAGCTCATTCTGGCTCAGATCTAGCATCTCCAACTCCACAAGGCCTTTAAAGTCGTCTTGAGACAAAGTAACAATGCCATTCTGGAAGATATAGAGATTCTGAGTGGTGGTGGGGACAACTGGCACAGTGCCGGAGCGTCGATGAATGCAGAATATCGATCCCTGGACCTGGCAGGAACAGTCTGCCGGGCAGTCAGAGGATAACACCAGACCAGAGGAGAGGAGGAGTAACAGGAAGTAACGTAACATGATGATGGCAGGCTTGAGAATCTGAAAGACATAAGGGAGAGAAAATGGTTTGTGTTAATCACCATTTGCTTGCTAAGCTGGTAAAATTTAAAAGTGAGGCTTTACAGTAAGAAACATTTAGAACATAGAAACATAAAATAGACAGAGTAGTAATAGAAATTCACCTATGAAATAAATGAAAGGTAAGTGGAGAGTTGTTTTGTCACTCTAATATCTAAAGCTGGAGTGTAATCTTGCTCAACTACAAACAGGATTGTTTTCCTTTGTGTTTTTATGATCACATTAAAGCATACAAGCACATAGATATAGAGCATAGTGCAACAGGACAGCTCTGAACACACATTTGCTAGATTAACATACTTTTTTCCACATATATGCATATATATGGATGTAAACTATAATACGACGGCTTCATCATGGTAGATTTGCTACTTCATATCCTTAATGAGCAGACACCCCAGGGATCAGGGCCTAAAGGCACACCAGAGGTTAACAAAGCCCACCCAGGGTGACCCTTCCTGTGTAAGTAAGAAAACCTTTTCCAACTCTTCCCTGTGTTTATGACACAGTCTTTAGCTCATGAAACCCAGTCTGCAGTAATGCAGCATGACACCCGCAGCCACAAGGCTACTACATACAAACATATCCAAGACAAATATGGTGTGAGGCACACACACACTGACTAAAAACATGGATGCCATATACAGGACAGCGGGAAGCTGGAGGGAAAGAGGAACTGCTGGGGAAGTGTATATGTGCGCACTGGAGAAGGCATGTGTTTGGCAGCGCAAGAGACTGGAGCAGTGTGTAGGAACAAACAGGGCATTCATTTAAAAAAATCTAATTTCTAGCACTAATGCAACTTAAACACAACTTTGAAACGTCTCTACCACATTACAGCACAAGACTTTAGAAACCAAAGTGCGTGCACAGTGGAAGTGTGGCTCAAACTTCCAAACCCCCCTCCTCTCTCGCTTTTCTTTTTAACTTCTTCCCTTGTGGGAAGAAGAAAGATAAGTTATGTCCATGCAGCTGCACCAAAAGAGCAGGGTCCAAGAAACGGAGGATAGATTTACTGCCTTGGACTACATTAGGAACAGTGCCTCCTCAATGTAATAAATGTAGTGATTCACTTCACTGTTAAAGAAGATTAACAATCACAACTACTCCTAACCTGGCCTCCTTTAGATATACTTCCTGCCTTTTATTCAGATCTGATTACGCAGTGACAAAGCGTACAGTCCATGTGTTTCTTCCAGAACTATATGAACAAAAACCATATTGTATAAGTATCATACATCTGAGTGATGTTTGACTGGAGTCTGACAACTGAGGCAAGCTGCTCCTCACATGCAGACTGAAGGCTTCATGTTTTGCAAAGCTGCTATGAAAATGAGTTTGTCCTGGACAAACTAAAATTAGTTTAACTCTATTAAATGATTCAGCCTTAGTTAAAATGAGATACAAATTATATAGACAGAAGTGAAACACTGCTGCGTCGTCAGCACAGATGATTCAGTTGACTACGGAAAGTGTGACCTACAGCTCCAGACCAGTCGGAGCCCAAAAAGAATAATTTCATCAGACTCATTTTGGATGAGTTTGTGCACTGTCAGAGTGTCTAAGAGTCACAAACACTGAAACTTGAGAGTGAACTTGGCAACAGTCAAAGGGAGTTTAACTCAAGATGACAAGATAAATGCAAGTGGAACTGAAGGGACTGAAATTTAATTTGGAGGAATAAAAATACAACATAACATTATATGGCAGCTTTTAAAGATCCTGTAACTGTTAGTTCTGTTGTGACGTAAGAAACAATGTACAGATTTCTAATTTGCATATAGAAAAAGCACTTATTGTAAAAGACTAGTGTAGTAGAGGATTGTTTGTCATTCTTTGCCTTGCATCCCCCCCTTTCCTCTCATCTCTCCCCTCCTCTGACCTGGTTTCTGTTAGCCAGCTCTTGCACTGCTGCCCTTTCCGAGACTCCCGAGGTGGAAGTTGAGGAGAAAGATGCTTTATTAAAGTCAGGAAGGCACCTCCCGCCTCATGCCTCAATTCCCTTTCAGTCCTCTGTTGCCTCAATTTTTCCCCCTCTCCTTATAACAGATAAAGGTCAGAGCCCGTCAGCCTGGCAAGAATTTGTAATATTCCCTCAAAATCTGTCTTTATGGAGAAGACAGGAAAGGCTGAGAGAAAAAAACAAAAAAACAGGAAGGTTGAAGAAGTGACTGCTGACAAACAGTACAAAGTGCACCAGTCTTCTAGATGAAGGTCAGTTTTTTTCATGTGAGAACGTGTGTCTTAGGAACCAAAACTGAGCCACTAAATCCAACCACGAGCGACCAAAGCAGACAGTCCTGTGGTATGGCTTTACTGGTACGTATCACAAGTCTTTTTAACGTGTTACTCTCACGACTCTCATGCAAGAAGCCAAAAAGACGCACTTTAAAGTGTAATTTCAAAAAATTCAATAATTAAATGCTACAGAATTGCAACCAAATTCACCACCAGAATCCCTTGATGTGGACACTAGTGTGGTGGAGGATCATGGTGGTTGCTGGCTTCAGCCTCAGTGTTTCCAGAAGCTGGAGCGCTAAGAGCCAAGGCAGTACAAGGGCAAGAGAGGATGGAGGCACCCTCTGAGTGGTAATATAGTGTTAGGTAGAAGGAGAGTGGAGTGAAGCTCTGAAGGTAAAGAATGCAGTCCAGCGATGCTACAAGGACAAGTCTGAAATACTAGAATTGAAAAATATTAAGAAGAGGGTTAGTGAAAAGTAACTGAACTAATATAAATGAGTCTAGATCAGCATGTACTTGAAAAGGAGCACAGATTCACAGACGTCCAATTAAGGGCAGCAGATGAGGAAGATCGGTCGACCACCTCTGACTACGGCATTAGAATTCTCTTTTAATACTAATTTAATTGTATATATCAGTCTCAGGCTGTCAACTGTGTCAGCATTGGCCCTGCAAAGGTCAGGACAACTTAAAACACAAGGCATGTTGAGGCATTTTCAACCTATCAACAGGCAATTTTATTAATACCAGTATCGATATGCTTCATAACAGTGCAGTAATTTCATTTAGTTTACAGCTCCATGAACCTGTTTAAATCTGCAGTTCATTTTAATTAGTTGGCCTGTAAAAATACCAGTCCTCAGCTTGTTTCTGATGCTTCGTCTTGTTGTGAACCACTGAGCGTCGTCTAGTTTTGACAAGTTCCTACGTTTGATAAATTGATTTCAAGTTCCAACTCTGTTTCCGTTTGAGTCGTGTTGACACAGTGTCTGTCTACGTGATCCAAAAGGTGAAAGAAGTGAGGAAATCTGTTCATGAGAAAATGGGTGTGCCAAATGACAATGTTTCTTGATTCAAAACAACAACTTTTTTTTTTTTTCTAACTGTTGAACTGCAACACAGTTGTGTAACAAAACATAGGTTGTATTACCTGCTATGACAGCTAATGAATAAATCAACTGACTGGCCTACTGTTTGACTCAGCATGTAACAATAAGAAGCAAACTGCATTGAAATATTGCACTTCTGCAGATGCATTCAGTTAGATTTTAATTGTTGGACGTTTTAAACTGAAAAAATTTTTTAAAAAGCCACTTAAAGATATGTTTAAGGACACCAAAACATTACATTTTTGCATGAAAAGTTCATTTACCAGGTTAAAAATTCTTCATTAACATGTACTGCCTCGCTCTCATTCAATTTGGAGAAGTATATAGGTTGCATATTGGACAATGAGTGGCTTTTAAACTAATTCTGGTGTTTCAAAATGATGCTTGTGATATGTGTACACATGTTAAACTTGCATTGAATGTAAGGACGTGGAAACTTTCCTTCTACGTGTTGCTCTACATTAAAAATGTCTGGCATGGCTTTGCTGAAGTCACCAAACCACTCTGTCACATCAGGCAGATGAAGAGAGCTATTATTACTGGCTTTTGTCAAAGACAATGAAGCTACAAACTCAAACAATAGCGCATACCTTAATGCACACAATGAAAATGTCTACAATCCGACAGCATGCTCCACTAATAACAAAGTATTCCTGTTATGACAAGGCACATGACTGCTTTTGTTTCAGGTAGATGTCTCAGTTTAAAGACACGCTCGGCTCTAGAATCCGGATCTGTCTTTGTGTGCAGCTACTTGTTGTTTATAGAACAGCAGAGCTCCCTGTCAGGTCTGTAAAGGTGCTACTGCTGGCACACTGGAGAAGTGAATCATTTTATAACAGGAAAAGAGAAGGATGACTGGAAAATGAATGAAAGAACATCAGCGTTTAAGAGCCAGGAAAGAAAGGGAAAGAAACTGTGATGGCTTTTCTCTTGACAAATATTATAGCTTGCATATTAAAAATGAGCACGATCACACTATTTAAGATGTATGATTTTATAAAACATGTGTCTGTAATTTAAAAATTCCAAGCAGTGTGTATGTGGTTTGAGGCTTTGCTGCTGCCAAAAGAGCAGAGTCAGAACATGTACTGCAGGTAAATCCCTCTGACAGGATGTGTCATTTACAACCGCTCCTCGAGTTTAATTCAGGAAAACACACTGCCAGGTGTACGGTAGGAACACCTTCAATCACAGAGGAGAAGTATTCAAGACAGCGAGACTTTCAGCATCCACTCTACTGGTTTGAGAAGCTGGGATGCTGCTCTGAAGCTGAAGCTGACCTCTGACCTCAGTGTAGAAAGGCGTAAGATGAAACTCATTTACCCTTCGAAGATCAAAAAGCATCGTATTGTGATATTTCAACAAGTTTTATCGGAATGTAGTTTCATTGCAGCATATTTTAAGTCTCCGTTAGGTGTTCTAGTTTTACTACGTTCTAATCCACATGGAGGACATGTTCTATAAATGAACAGCAGTTGGGTGTCTATATAATGGTTGCACACTACTGCCCTGGCAGCATAGCAGCCAAGTGGACAGTTGACTGCTGTGCTACAACGGCACAAAACCTTCAGGATCTTGTGGAAACAGAAAGTATAACATTGGCTTGGT